GAGACAAAGACAAAATGGTGAGAATAAGTCAATCATTAAATTATAATTTGTTGTCAGGATATATTTTAATGCCAACAGAATCCTAGATAAAATATCTTAATTTGGAACTATTTTTTTAGCTCATTTGTTTATTATGCGGCTATTTTGTGCTCTTCTTGTCAATTAAAATTTGTTTTACAAATTAATTCTTTTTATTCACACTGTATTAAGTTAAAATTATAATTTTCACAGACCCAGCATTATGACAAGGTTATCCAGGTTGTCTTGACGTCAATGGAGTATGAAGCCAAGCAACCATTGAGAAGGGTATCTATTGATATTATATCTTAAATCCTGTAAACATCTATGAAGAGCAACTACTGTAGAAGAAAAAAGTGTACAAACAATTAGATTAATTGCAACTTAGCCTATATTTCACCTGGAATTTCCAGAGAGGTCCTTCAATGCATGTGGTACCGACATTATTGTCAAAATGGTATCACATGCTTGTGTTTATAAAATCGAGAAATAGATTGTACTCCACAGAAATCACAACTGCTAAAGAATGGCTGTAAGTCATGTACATGCAGGCAAAACTCTTCTTCAAAGATCCCTGTGCCATCTGAAAAGTAGCTTTGCCTTTGTACCAAAGCAAGAAGACCAGTGAGATTGCAATAATAGAAACCTGTGAATAAATGTCTGTAGGCTTGAAGCAAACAAGCTCAACAGTTGTCTAAAACAGGGTCCGTGCAGGTCCTTAAATCCTTGAAAAGTGCTTGAATTGAAAACTCGTTTTCAAGGGCAYWTDAARCTCCTTGAAAATTTGAAAATTTCGAAAAAGTCCTTGAAAAGTCCTTGAAAAAGATAGATCTCTATCACGAAGCTAGCGATCTCTGAATTATTCCGCTCTGCTGAAGTTTTGAGGTACATGTAAGAATGTACAATTAGCATGATTTTGATGTTCCTTTAAAATACAATTTTGGTCCTTGAAAAGTCCTTAAATTTCGCTTTTGATACTCTGCACGGACCCTGTAAAGTTCTTCAGTGCATCTAGGCTGGGACAGCATCCATGGCTTTTCGAAGTTGAAAAACTCTTTATAGGAGTTACTAAATACATGTTTTCCATTTCAGGTCCATATTCTATTCTTAAAAGACATTGTTAGTCT